CAAAAAAAAAAAAAAAAGTGACATATTTAAGTCACCTACTGTTATCATAGAACTATCTGTTTCTTCTTTCATTCTGTCAGTGTTTGCTTCATATATTTAGGAGCTCTGAGGGGCGTTGCATGCACATTTATAACTGTTACATCTTTTTGGTGAATTGACTGTTATTATCTCTTAAAACAGCTTTTGACCTCAAGTCTATTTAGTCTGATATTAATCTATTTCCTCCTCCTCCTTTTTTTTGGTTACCATTTGCATGGAATATCTTTTCTCATCCTTTAACTTTCAACCAATGTGTAAGTCTCTTACAGTCTTTTGATTGTAGAATTCATTTGCATTTTTTTAGACTATCATCGGACAGAACTCATTACCCTGGTGGGTGACTGTGCCATGAGGCCCACAGCCAAGGGCTCAGTGAGCAGTTGCTCTGGGAGGACCCCAGCACACCATTTACGGGGTCTCCCGGTGCCACTCTGTGGATTGTTTTCTGCATGGCTTATGGTTTGTGTTCTCTCTCATTTCCTTCCTTCTGCCTGCCTGTGTGTTTGATTTTTTGGTGTGGCACACTTAGAATCCCTTCTCATTTCCTTTTGTGTAGATTCTGTAGATACTTTCTTTGTAATTACCATGAGGATTACATAAAACATCCTGAAGTTATAGCAGTTGATTTTAAACTAGGAAGTTCAATCACATGCAAATACTCTACTCCTTGACAGCTCTACCCCGTCCTATGTTGTTGTTACAAAGTATATCCATATTTTAGAGAGAGGTTCTCACTCTGTCACCCAGGCTGGAGTGCAGTGGCACTCTCATAGCTCATTGTAACCTCAAGCCCCTGGACTCAAGTGATCCTCCATAGCTGAGACTACAGGTGCATGCCACCATGCCTAGTTTTTTTTTTGTGTGTGTTGTTGTTCTTGTTGTTTTTAATAAATTATATATTTAACATAGACTTATGGTTACACATCTCTTTTAAATCCAATAAAATAATTAAAATCAGAGATATGAATCAAAGTTCCAATAATACAGGTCCTTATATGTGGCTTCAAATGTCCACCTAGCACCCTTTTGTTTTGACTTGAAGGACTCCCTTTAGCATTTCTTGCAGGATAGGTCCCAGTGTAATGAACTCTCTCAGCTTTTGTTCATCTGAGAATGTCTTAATTTCTCTTGTTGGTTGCGAGGTAGGAAAATCACATGAGGTCAGGAGTTTGAGACAAGCCTTGCGAACCTGGTGAAACCCCATCTCTACTAAAAATATAAAAATGTGGTGGCGGACGCCTGTAATCCCAACTACTTGAGAGGCTGCACCACTGTACTCCAGCCTGGAGGACAGAGCAAGACCCTGTCTCAAAAAGATAATAAAAAGTGTCTTAATTTCTTCCTCCTTTACTTATGAGAGTTCATAAGATGCCTTTATGTTGTAACTTATAACCACCTTTTAATTTGTCCTTCAAAATTTAACTGCAATTGGCAACTACTTTTCTTAAATACTTCACTGGTGTCCAAGAGAGGAGAAGATTTTAGCCCTTGATTAAAAAAAAATAAATAAACCCAGCCAGACATGATGGCTCACACCTGTAATCCCAGCACTTTGGGAGGCCAAGGCAGGCGGGTCATGAGGTCTGATGTTTGAGACCATCCTGGCCAACACGGTGTAACCGTGTCTCCACTAAAAACACACAAAAAATTAGCTGGCTGTGGTGGCACGTGACTGTAATCCCAGCTACTCAGGAGGCTGAGGCAGGAGAATTGCTGGAACCTGGGAGGCAGAGGTTACAGTGAGCCGACATTGTACCACTGCAGTCCAGCCTGGGTGACATAGCAAGACTCTGTCTCAAAATAAATAAATAAATAAACCCTAAGAGGAAGGGAGAGGATCCTAACTGCAGATAATAGTCCATTGTCACCCTGTGGCTATCAATCTGAGTTGCTTGTCCTCCCAGATGTTCTGTTGATGGCTGTAGTAGTTGACAGTTTTGTATTTACATGGTCAGAACAATGAGTGCTTCTGTTCAATTCCCAGATTCTCCAAGCTTCCTGTGGAGCCACAACACCTCCTGTCTTGGCATTTCATGAGTCCAAGGCTGTTTCCTGAGTGGATCTGGTTGGTAGACCGTGACCTTGATTCCTGCCTCTAAGCCTCACTTTATTCTCAGCAGCCACCACCTTTTTGATACTAGAAGAGTGCTTTTTATAGTGCACTCATAAGTGGATGCCGAAATCACAACCTGGCTGTTTGGATGTTCAACTAATGCTTTATGCTGTGGAGTCCCTGAACTCAGCAACCCGTGCCGGAACTCACTGGAGCTCAGGTGTGTAGCACTACCTTGTTTCTCTATGGCTGGGAGTGAAAACAATGTTTATGCATTTGTTTCCCATTTGTTACTTTGCAGGTTTTGTTCTGTGAGACAAGGTCTCACTCTGCCATGCAGCCAGGAGTGTAGTCATGGCTCACTGCAGCCTTGACCTCCCGGGTTCAAGCTGTCTCACCTCAGCCTCCCAAAGTGCTAGGAATACAAGCATGAGCCACTGCACCTGGCCTACCTTTGAGCTTTCAGCTCTTTATGTATTCTAGAGATGAGTCTTTGGAGATGAGTCCTTGGTCTGGTAGGTGGTTTGTAAATGTTTTTCCCAATCTGTAGCTTATCTTTCCCTCTTCCTGACTGAGTCAGAGAGCAAAAATGTGGTCTCTCTTGCAGATACTCTGCCCCTGTAGCAGGAAAACAGGCACAGACAGTACATAAATGAGCATGTGGATGTGTCCCTTGAGTGTCCATTTGTGGTAAAGAGATCTCTAGACAGATCAGTGCTCAGAGGTTATTTCATTAAGTAGCAGTTAAGCTGGGTATCAACTCTAACCCCATGCTTACTTTCCCTTACTCCACTGTCTTCCATTGCTGCTGGTGGAAAAGAAATTTTCAACATGTTCTTCCTTATTTCCACCCTCCTCAGTAGCTTTTAGGACCTGTTCTTTGACTTTTCTGCAATTGTGTTTGGATGGGTCTAGGTATGGATGGATTTATTGTATTGGCGATTGTGCCTCCTGACTCTAAAGGGTCCTGGGTCCTGTCTCTGTATTAATTCTTGAATTTTTTTTTTTTTTTTTTTTTTTTTTTTTTTTTTTTTTTTTTTTTTTTTTTTTTTTTTT